CACAACACTGTGGTTTAACAGAATTTACCCTACAGCGCTACCTTGCCCTCACTGCCCAAGGACCTTCAAGGCGAAGATTGGCTTAATCAGCCACCTGAGGACCCACCCCACCCCCCGGATATGATGAAGAAGGTCTTCTTCCCTCAGGAAGGACGAACACCACCTGTAAAGCACAGCACAAGAACAGAAATAGTAGAACCATACATCATAAAATTATCTTTGTGGAATTTGATCGCCATGAATATAATTAAGTCATTTCTTTACATGCATAAATATTGTCCTCGACTGACAATAAATCTCTTTGAGTCCGGCTCTTCTCTGTGCCGAATGTAATAAGCCTGTGTCTTGTGTTGTTGGACCATTAATTTAGGCTCCATGGATTTTGGGGGGTTTCTTTCTTTCTACATTCATGTATTTTTGTGTGACATGTCATGGCATTTTATTGTTATAGTATGATGAGGGAGATGGTTGAAGATTTTGTGATGCTCTTGCCTTTAATCTATGGCTGCTCTCATCATCCAACTTGTCATCAAACTGAAACGTTCAATAATATTGATGTATACATACAAACATATACATGTGTATATATATATATATATATATATATATATATATATATATATATATATATGAGGCATCATGGTGAGATCAGGTGCCTGTCAAAATAATGAAATCCGAGAAATTAGCATTTTATTACGTTTGGATATTTTTTTCAAATTTTTGTTTTTGGCTCAAAACTTTGTATCATTCAAAAACACTTTTGCATTTGGATTTTAAGGAGAAAAAAAGTTTGATTAAAGGCATACAAAAAATGTAAATTTGCAGTTTTCAAGGACTCTAAAGCTATGGAAGTCACCAAACTTTGATGGCCATTTTCTCGCTAATTTTACTTCTGAAACCAGGCGACCCCACCTCCTTCAATGGCAAATATCTTGACTTCTGTTAAAGATAAAATCGATATTTTTTCATCAAAAGCAAGACAAATGAAAAAGTTTTAAGATAATGCTAATAACTTCACATGCCCAAAAATTGACAAGCTACTGATTCCACCGCGTTGTGACACATGTAAATATATACAAACATCGCTGGCCAGCTATTCAGATATATTATTATATTAAGTCCAAAATTTGCAGAAAAATTTCTATTACAATTTCTTAATCTTTGGTATTGGTTGCATGCGCTCCAGAAATATTTTGTGGAAATTCAAAATTCTAAATGTTGAAAAAAGAAAGAAGATATTCATGATGTTGGTATGGTTGTGAAAAAATATAAAACATAACATTTTTTTCCTCTCTCCTGAAAATTATTTCTTTCTATATATATATATATATATATATATATATATATATATATATATATATATATATATATATGAGAACAAGTAGCAATGTTAACTATTTGCCTTTGTTAGTAGCAAATGCTTGTGTTCTAGTACAAAATAAGAATTTTCAGACAACTTATAACATTTTATTTACATATATTCATATATGTACTCATTTCTTTTCATGGCACCTGGCAAGCTGGCTGAGCCTGAACTTACCAACGCTGACTAAAAAGTTTTGCCTTCGAGATCATAATTTCAAAACTAGATCAAATCGTGCCATACACACAAACGTTATACTAATTATACCAAACAAAATCATGGGATGACTCTTTTAAAATTCTACCTATATATATAATATATTTATCCACATTATTTCCATCCAGTTATGACCAAGCCAGGACTTGCAACATCCAAGCAGACATGACGAATTTGATAAAAATTAATAATTTGTCTTTTTAAGAATGTTCTTTACGTTTGAAGTACCAAATATATGTACATGTTTCAAATCCGTGACATAATTATGTTATGTCCCATCTGTACATTGACATACTCGTAACTAACTATTCAAAATGATTACCGTTGGCCCTTGATATAGCTGTAGAAAGTTTGATCCAACCCTCTGATTGGAAAGCCATAAATACAGATGAGATGTCTTTTGGACATTTTAAAACACCATAATTTCTATATAATATAGTGTTTGCCTAATAGCTTTATTCACATCCCCCATTTTAATCTGAATACCCCTGTTAGACTGTTATAAGAAATATTGCATTTCCAAATTCTCCTCTTTAAAGTAAATTCCCATGTACAGATCATTAAAACGTGCAAGTGCAATAATGCATGAAAATAAGTTTTACTATTTAACTGCATTTTCAAATAGAAGGAACTGATGAAAGGTTTGGCACTGGCTTATTTTTCTAAAAACAAACACAAAAAAGGGAGAGGGTGAGAAGAGGGTGGATATTATTTTCTACACTTTTCAGCTCAATGTGAGGACCCTGCACACAGACACAAAGGCCGCCCGTCTTGTCTTCATGACAGTAGCCGAGTTTACAGTATTTACACCGTATGATCTGAACAATAAAATTTCCACCAATCCTTCGATCTGTCTGTCTCATTTTGTTTAGTATTGACAGGAAGTTCATGTCGCCTTTACATGTGTGTCCCCTTGGTTTTATGCACCCCGCATAATTTAGCAAAATTTGATCATTTTTGCATAATTTCTGATTATTTTCCTTTCTCATTCTTTGTTAAAATTAACAGAATCGCATAATTTCACATTTTTGGGCTCAGTTTGCATGATTTCAGAATTTTTCTTGCATAAAACGACGGGGACAGACATGTAGATCTATTTACTTTAGTCCACAGATCTGAGCTTTCTTCTTTTTTTTTGTTTGGTCCAGATAAAACATTTTGTTTACCAGATAATATTGTTTGGTTGTCACATCCTCATTCTTTACAAAAAGATCAATCTGAATCCTAGCAGAAAGTACACTTAGTGTAGAATTCTGTGTATGAGCACCAAGGGGTGGATGTCAACAGAGAAGTCCAAAAGGGGGAATCAGGCTTACTCTGCTCACCTCTCTAGCCTCAACAGGACAAAAGTCTGCTTCGACTATCAAGGCTCCCCGGAAATAGTAGTTCACAAGGGAGTGACAAACATACAAAAGAAGTAGAGGGAAATGACGATAGTAAGGATGAGGAAAGAAAAAGCAGCAGTTCCCCCATGTTGTTCCAGCACAGTATGAGCATGACATTGATAAATCAGCCATTTACAATTCTACTGTGCATAAGAACATGTTAATATCCCCACTTCAGTTAGTAGCACTGCCCTGGGGGGGTGCTGTTGTTGGAGCTCCTAAAGTTCCTAATCACGCCACGTGAAAACCTTTTCTAAACTGAAGATTCCCAAACCTACTGCAACTGTTGAGAGTTTAACGCACTGCTAGACACAATGATCACAAAAACAAAATCCAAACAAAACAGTGGAAATTCTACAAATTAATTTTTAAAAGATTCTGTATATATATATAATTTAAAAAATTTCACAGAAAGTCACTTTTTTGCCTTTTGAGCCTCGTAGCTGATAATAGCACAGTGCGTCTTACGACTGATATTGAGCATGGCAGACAGGCATAAGATACACAAAATATAGTTGCTTTTTACTACCGCCACCACTATTAGTTTTTTAAGTTTTAGTAGAGGTTTTACGGCGCTCGCAACTGCATAAGGTCATATGAGCACCAGAAGATTAGAGGTGTTTCAAGAGAGTAACAAACACAAAAAAGAAGGAGGGGAGATAAGGATGATAGATGTTTGATAGGAAAGAAGAAGCAAACCACACCAGAGTACCCGCCAACCACCCATCCACCGCTATTAGAGATTACTGAGACAGTTGCTATTTCACATAAATAATAAAGACAACTCAAATAGTTGCAGTGTAACATAAATGTTTAACATGAAAGGTAAAGATAACTTTGAGAGTTGTTATTTCACATTAATGTTTAAAACAACTCAGACAGTTGCTACTTTATTTACCCTCACCGTTAGACTTTGAACAGCTGTCGTCCTTTTTTCAAATCCAGCATTTGCAGATATTTTAATTTTGCAGGAGAGCCCCCTTTTTTAAAAGCCAACTCAATGTTGTTACCAAGAAAAAAACATATTATTTTGTTTCAGAGAAAATGCTGAAGTTATTATCAAAATTGTATTCTTAAAAGGATCCATCTTTAGAAGCCTAATTCCTTATCAAACTTAGAAGTAGCTGGAAAAAGCATTTGAGAGAGGTAGCAATGTAGGAAAATCTTCACCAAAAATTATCTCTCTTTGCAGTTTTCTCAGAATTGTTTATCTGACCAGGTTGCAACACTATATTGAGTAGATCTCAGAAAGTTACCGTCAGAAGTGTTTCAAATTTGCACACAATCTTTTATACATATTTCTCTATAACCTTACAGTAGCATTTTTCTTTTTTATGTACACCTTTGAAATTTTAGGCCTTTTTATTTTACAAAATCTTAAAATATTGAAGACCTGAATGTGGTGCATAACAAGGACTGTAAGGCTCACAAGTCAGTACAGAAATTTCAAATTTGGCCCTGTAAGGTTATTCTACCTACCAACAGTAATCGCCATGCCAAATATTATTAGGCTTCTATCTTGAAGCATGCTGATGATTGACAAAATATAAAATTGGTTTTAAAAATGCTGAATCAATCCTTTATTTTTGATGGCTCGAGATTATTATGGCTAAAATCTTGAATTTTTTGCTTGGTAACCTTTTTTTGTACTATGTCACCCCCTTTGATGCAGAAAAGCAAGCGTTAGACCAAAAACTACAGCATTTGGGTGTTGACCATAGCTACACCCCCTTAACTAGGTAAGTTCGCAAATATTTAGTTTTAGTAGAGGTTTTACGGCGCTCGCAACAGCATAAGGTCATATGAGTGACAGAAGATTAGAGGTGTTACAAGAGAGTAACAAAAATTTTAAAATTTTTAATTGCAGCTGCGTTCATTTTTCAGCTCACGAGTTTGACTTTTGGTGCAGTTTAGTTTAGTAGATGCCAGAGGAAGACACGGGTCAGTGGAAATGGTAGACATAAACGTAAACAGGACTGGCAAAGTTTCTATTAGAATGATAAATATTCAACACAACTGCCAGCGCATTTCATAAATTTTCTGCTGTGTCTTTTAGTTTAGTTTCAGTAAGGTTTTACGGGGCTCCCAACTGCATAAGGTCACATGAGCGCCAAGGGGGAGACACTAGACTATAAAGTTCTCTGCACCACAGCTGAATAACTCTCTCTCTCTCTCTCTCTCTCTCTCTCTTTCTTCTGGCGCTGTGGCGTCATAAACGGTCAGCGATGCCGACAGCACGCAGGAACTCAACACTTTCCCGGGGGGCCTTAAAAAGTGCTAAATGTGGGTTACTGAAATGTCCCAGCAGACGGGTTCTGGCACATCTCTTGCAAGCAACGATGAAGAACTTAACCACTACACCCTAGATGCTAATGTACAAGTATAGCAAGTATAAAAATACGCATTATGTGGTGGGTGCTGACAAAATGAGTTACTTCTCGCAATTAAAAAATGGAGATATTTGCCAAAAATTGACACCAGAATCAAATTTGTAGATTCTAAACAAATGCCGTTCTCTTCAAGTTTTACAGAGACCTGTTTTCATACTAATGAATTGCAAAAACTCACCCTATAAATTTGACGCATATATTTCCGTCGGACTCAAATCTGAGAAATAACTCATTTTGTCAGCACGCCTCACATATTTAGCAAAGATAGGCCTACTAATATATGAGTTCCCCAAACCAGTGTCTTATACCTGCAGCAACACTTGCACAAGATTTCCGTCTATATACCGCGGTACACATAGACGTCCGGTACACGCGGGCAACATGAGTCACAGATACTGTGAAAAACACGCACAGAAGATTTCTGGATATATGGAACAGTACCCTGGCTTCCTGGCCTCCTGGCCTCCCAAGCACTTTATGGACTCAAACAGAAGGTGACTTTAGAATCTTCCAACAAATAAGAGTTTTCTTCAGAATCCAAGGAAAAACAGAAGTTTAACTTCCGAATCCTCCAAAAAACAGAAGTCTAACTTCCGAATCCTCCAAAAAACAGCACTTTAACTTCAGAATCCTCAAAAAAACATAAGTTGACTTCCGAATCCTAAAAAAAAAAATATGAGTTAACTTCAGAATCCTCCAAAAAACATAAGTTGACTTCAGAGTCCTCCAAAAAATAGGAGTTCACTTCAAAATTCTACAGAAAAAAAAGGAGTTAACCTCAAAATCCTTTTAAAAAAGGAGTTTTAACTCAGAATCCTCAGAAAAAATAGGAGTTTACCTCGGATGAGATTCCTTAAAAAAAATAGGAGTTAACCCCAGAATCCTTTAAAAACAGGGGTTTAGGGGGAAAAAAATCACAGGCTCCCAAACCCAAGTCGAGTAAAATTACATAAATATTGCCAAAGGTGAAAAATAAACGTCATTTGAAAACATCAAAATAAAAATGGTATTTTCACATCATCTATGATAAGCCATGCACATACTTCAAATAAACACACACTGAAAAAAATGTGCAGGCCTATTTTCCCCTGATTTACAATACGTCACATTTAATTTGGTCTGACAGAAAAGGAAAGCAAGAAAAAAATTGAATTTAATGTAAGTCCTATCAAGGTTTTTTCAACAAGGGAGGAAAAAATAAATCGGAGAGCTCCAATTTTACCGTAGAACTTGGCAGGGCAGGGCTGAGTACCGTACCTAATGGTTCACCTTACGGCAACATATAACACCGAAATTTTTAATTTCTTGACCATAATAACATAGTGCTTCCGAGTCAGTCTGCACATAACATAACTCTCTTGGACTGCCCTTCCTTCTCATCAGCTGCCTCCTTGCTGAGGATTCAGAAGGTTGAGGACACTCTCGGACACGGAGATCTGCTGATTCTCCACGTAGTTGCGACTGTTGTACTCGGTGAACTCCAGGAAGTAGCGGTAGTTGACCATCATGGAGCACGACTGTTGCAGCCCGCGGTGGGTCGTGTCCGCCAGGAAGTTGATGCGGAACAGCTGAGCCCCGTTGCTCAAGTGAAAGTTTGCTATGGCGTAGAGAGGAGGAGAAAGTATTTTGTTAGAGAGGCTAGTGGCGCTCATATGACCTTATGCAGTTGCGATCGCCGTAAAACCTCTACTAAAAACTTTTAAAAAGAGGGGCTAGGGAGAGAAAGTGAAAGTTTGCTGTGGTATAGAGAGGAGAAAGTATTTTGTTAGAAAGGCTAGGAAGAGAAACAGATGAAAAAAAAGAATGAAATAAACAGACAAAGAGAGACAGACAGACGGAGAGAGAGAGAGTAGAATGAGAGACTGCGAGATAGAAAGTTTGCTGTGGCATAGAGGAGGAGAAAGTATTTTGTTAGACAGGAGAGGGAGAGAAAGTGAAAGTGTGAAGTTTGCTGTGGTATAGAGAGAAAGTATTTGTTACAGATGTTAGGGCTAGAAAGAGAAAGTTTTCTGTGGTATAGAGAGAAAGTAATTGTTAGAGAGGATAGGGAGAGAAAGTGAAAGTTTGCTGTGGTATAGAGAGGCAGAAAGTATTTATGACAAAATGAGTTACTTCGCAGATTTCAACCCGCTGGAAATAAAGGTGTCAAATTTATAGACAGAGTTTTTGCAATTTATTAGTATGAAATAATAAAAGATATGATGTAAAACTTGAAGAGAATGGCATTGGTTTAGAATCTGCAAATTTGACCCTGAGGTGAATTTTTGGCCGATATCTACTTTTTTTTGTTTTTGCGAGAGGTAACTCATTTTGTCAGCACCCCTCACATTTTGTCAGAGAGGCTAGGGAGAGAAACAGACGGAAGGAAAGAATGAAATAAATAGACAGAGACAGACAGACAGACAGACAGACAGACAGACAGACAGACAGACAGACAGACAGACAGACAGACAGACAGACAGACAGACAGACGGACGGAGAGAGAGAGAGAGAGTAGAATGAGAGACTGCGAGATAGTAAGTTTGGTGTGGCATAGAGAGGAGAAAGTATTTTATTAGAGAGGAGAGGGAGAGAAACAGACGTTTTTGTTTTAGTAAGTGTTTTACGGCACTTGCAACACAATAATGTCATATAAGTGCCGAAGATCAGAGGTGTTACAAGAAAGTAACAAAACACAAAAAAGAAGGAGCACAAAAAAGAAGGAGGAGAGATAAGGACGACAAATGTTTGATAGGAAAGAAGAAGCAGAAACAGATGGAGAGAAAGAATGGAATAAACAGACAAGAGAGAAAGAATGGAATAAACACACAAGAGAGAAAGAATGGAATAAACACACAAGAGAGAAGAATGGAATAAACAGACAAGAGAGAAAGAATGGAATAAACACACAAGAGAGAAAGAATGGAATAAACAGACAAGAGAGAAAGAATGGAATAAACAGACAAGAGAGAAAGAATGGAATACAAAGGTGGAGAGAAAGAATTAAATAAACATGTCGTATAAATCTTGTATGAATGAGAGTGTGTACTTACTTATGAACACAAAGCTTCAAAATGTCAAATAAGCTCAAACTTCACACACATAAAATATGACACTTACTCATGTTACTTAAATGTAAGTTGTTAAGATCTTATAAAGTACCACTTTTGTCAAAACAAAAATTACAAAATATTCCAAGTACTTAAACACAAAGCTAACTGCAAATTACCTTTCTAGAACAACCAAAACTACAACAACAACAACGAAAACAACAACAACATTAAATTACCTTAAACTCACAACAGGCTGCAAAACGTCATACTAACTTTTCTATAAAATAAAAGATCACATTTACTTCAACTGGAGAACCAAACTAACAAAGATCTGTCTGACGTACCAACGGGATTGAGGGCCAACTTGCGTCTCTTCTCAACGTACAGATAGTGAGCGCAAAGTCTCAGGAGAGGACCTTTCATCACCTGTCAGACATTTCAAACAGTAGGACAGCATAGTGAGAGGTAAAAATGGAAAAAATATTTACTGATCGAAAAAAAATTGAGTCAAATCTACTTCAACCCTATCCGTACGTCGTGTTTTACTGTGTGCCACCATCCATACGATGTGGGGAACTCTGTGCCACCACTTAACCCTATCCGTACGTCGTGTTTTACTATCTTATCCATAGACGTGGGGAACTCTGTGCCACCACTTTACCCTATCCGTACGTCATGTTTTACTATACTATCCATATGACGTGTGGAACTCTGTGCCACCACTTTCCAAAGAGGAACTTTGCTCGTTAGTCCGATCCGTAAGCGCTGCATGGCAGTCTGTCAAAACGATTTTTTGAGAAATACTGAAAGTTTCAAAGAGATCTTCACACAAGAAGTATTCTACAATGTGAAAATGACCCCAGGGCGTACGGAGAGGATTAATAGTCACCTGTCCAAGACAATCACCAGTACAAACGGCCATTTCCCACTTCCACCGCTTGGGTTGATTTTTTTTGTTTTTTCAAATAGAATAAAAATATGTAGATGTTCACTTATTTAAGACAACTACTTTCCTCCTCAACAATGGGTGGCCATTTTGAACAATTTGGACAGTATTTCTATAGTAACACTAATGAGGCCAATAACGTTGAAACACTGGAAATCAACTCTATTTGCCATGTTTAGAATCAAGGATAACTTTGAACAAAATCAGTCTTTGAATTAAATTTTTTTTTTAAGCCCTTTTTCAAGATCATTCTTTTTACAGACTGTCATAAGAGCTAAAAAAGATGAACAATGAAGCGTGTCAGATTCTCCCCAGACAACAAAGCCTGTAGAAAAATACAATACTTTGGTCCCTTAAAATGACACCAGACCATTGCCTACGTGCCTGTGTGCGTGCGTGCGTGCGTGCATGCGCGTGTGTTTTGTGTGAGAAAAACTTAACCAATGCACCAACATCTGGACAATAAAGATTTATCTTATCCCATCAAAGTTGTGACCACATTCACCTTACTTTCTGGACAGCCCTTGCAATTACTGATGGCAACACCTGACCTATATATATATATATCCAGGTGTATTCATAGTGGAGATCATTCTTTTCAGAGAGGGGGAAAAAATTTGTACATCGTTGGTGTTGACATTACTCAGATGCGGGATGAAAACTAAGTTTGACCTCCTTTTTTGAATACAGAGAAGCACATCAACATAATACTGTTCATTTAGCACTGAGAAAAAGGAAAAAAGACGGACAGAAACAACAGAGGAGAAGTAAAAAAGTAGGACCAACCAGAGGCTCCCTCCAACCAGCTTTCAAGTTCTGATCCCTGTACCACTCACGGATCGAGGGCCGATCTTTTAAAAACTCTAAAACTGGTGCTTGACATTATTTTTTCTCAGACAGTGGAGAAAATTTGTCCACAATCATGCAAAGAGGAAAATGAAAGTTTACCTCCTTCACATTCTGGTCCCTGTACCAATCATGAGTCAAGAGCTGGTCCTTGAAAAACTCCAGAACGGATGCTTGACTGGCCAGCTTGAAGGGTCGGAGACTGGTCACTTCCTCGGGCAACAGGATGGGGGACTGTGGCTCCTCGCCCGCATCTGTAAAAAAGGACCATATGACGTGAGGTTTACTGTCCAAACGAGTTACTTCTCTGAATCCCAAAATGGAGATATTGGCCGAAAATCGATACGCGGTGAAATTTGAAGATTTCCAAATGATGTCGTTTTCTTCACGCTTAAGATGTTTTTATTACTCCATACTTGTAAATTGAATTGTAAAATCTCAACCTATAAATTTGACTATCCCAAGGGGTGACCAGTCCCTGAAGCCAAACAAACAAAGAAACAAACAAAAGTACAGAACGTTCACCTACTGCGAGCGTTGATGTTGTGATTGACGTTAAAGAGCAGCCAGTCCCTGAAGCCAAACAAACAAACAGACAGACAAACAAACAAACAAACAAACAAACAAACAAACAAACAAACGTCCACCTACTGCGAGCGTTGATGTTGTGGTTGACGATAAAGAGCAGCCAGTCCCAGAAGCCAAACAAACAAACAAAAACAAACACACAAACGTCCACCTACTGCGAGCGTTGATGTTGTGATTGACGTTAAAGAGCAGCCAGTCCCGGAAGCCAAACAAACAAACAGACAGACAAACAAACAAACAAACAAACAAACAAACAAACGTCCACCTACTGCGAGCGTTGATGTTGTGGTTGACGTTAAAGAGCAGCCAGTCCCGGAAGCCCGGTATGGGCGAAAGGCTGGAAAACTTCTGGAGGTGTGGGAACTCTTCCTGGAGCTTGCGCACAACCGACTTAATCAGGTAGTTCCCCATCTCCACACCGTGCAGGCCTGCCCAGGTGCAACAACAATAATAATAATTAATAATAATAATGAAAATAATCATCATCATCATCATCATAATAACAATAAAAATAACCACCACTGACTTGATAAGGTAGTTTCCTATTTCTACACCGTGTCGGCCTGTCGAGGTGCAATATTAAAGATAAGAAGAGGAAGGAGGAGGAGGAGGAGGAGGAGAAGAAGGAGAGGGAGGAGGAGAAGAAGAAGAAGAAGAAGAAGAAGAAAAAGAAGAAGAAGAAGGAGAAGAAGAAAGAAAAGGAGGAGGAGG